GTTACATCAGTGTTGACATAAACCACTCTTTGTCACGTCAGGGCTAGACTGGATCAATAAGCTCTACCTGGAGTGAACTATGAAGGCTACTTGAAGCTTCAGTTAGTATGGAATGTTGCTGTACACCTCCTCAATAGATCAGACTGGAGAGAGCATATTGCAATTGTGCTTCATGTTCTGCAGTAGCTGCCTATATACTTTAGGTACTAGTTACAGTTTATAACGCCCAAATGGCCTAGTTCCCTGTTACTTTAGACTGCTTCTGCCACATATCCTGCATCTGCTTGAAAGGCTTTGGCTGGCTGTCGCAAATGTACAGCTCACCTGAGCCAGGAGAAGAGCATTCTTTATAGTGGCACTAATAATATTTGAAGCGTTAGCTTTAGAGTAACCACCTCTTTATACTGAAACTTACAACACTGGAGGGGTTATCTTGTCTCTTTTATATATATATATATATATATATATAAAAATGTCTGAAACAAAAAAGAAGCTACTTTTATGGAAATAATTATTCGTTTCTCGTTTGTTTCAATGGTTGCTTAAACAATATGAAAATATACTGTATTTCTGTAAAAGTAGCTTTTTTAACATTCTCAGTTTGGTAGGCAATGGGGAGCCAATCTGGAAGTCTTTACTAAGGCAACACTTCTATTGGAGTTCAAGGGATTGTTATCAGTAAGGTCTGTTGGATTGGGCCCAGTTCTAGGGTGTATTAGGTAACCATTGAAAGTCCCAAATCACTTATTTGTGGGGAAGATGTGCAGAGAGGCAGCAGTAGCAGGGCCGGCTCCAGGCACCAGCCCACCAAGCTTGTGCTTGGGGCGGCACCTGGAGGGGGGCGGCGCAGCGCTCCGGCCGCCGGGGAGAGCGGGGCCACGCCACCCTCCCCCCGGGGCTCTGGCCGCCCCCTCCCCCCCCCGCGGTGGGGGGGCGGCCGGAGGCTTTTTTGCCTGGGGCGGCAAAAAAGCCAGAGCCGGCCCTGAGCAGTAGTGTAGACTCTGTCCTGGAGCTTGGTCTAAAGCCCACTGGAGGCAATGGGAAGACTCCCATTGATTTCACAGGGCTTTGGGTCAGACCCCTGGTGTACTCCACACTCCCCTGCATACTAGTGAGGAGGTCTCAGTGGTGGACCTCTATAGTGCCCCATGGTGGGAGGATTATGGGCAGGCAAGGGGTGCGATCAATGGATCTGTGCACAGATCAAACAGACCATGTCCCTGGGTAGAGCGGCACAGCTCTTCTCCATGGTCATTATTAGTAACTGCAGCCAAGCTGCGCAAACCGCCTGGGCAAAGAACTAGAATTTTGTCCCTCAGTACTGTTTCTGCAAAGCAAAACATGTTCAAATGGGTTCAGCTTCTTGCTACATAGATCATTCTAGCTTTTAAAATAAAGATAACAATGTTGAGTAAATGATTATGCTGCATAAAAGTCAATGCAAATGTGTTACATATTGAACTCCTTTCTTTTTCTTTTCTTTTTACAGTATAAACCGGTAAATTCATTAGCTGGCTACTCTCATACATTTTAGTGGGGATGCATTTGCTATCATACTCATTCATCTGAGCTGTGATTCAATAGTTAATGAATCTCATTAACTCTAACTTCAGAACAGTTATATTAGTGATTTGAATCCCATTCTCTTACCTATTTAATTTAATGAGATTCTTAGTTAACCTTATTACAGAACTCCATGAGGTTTAACCTTATGTGCTGAATGCTTCCCACAGCCAGAGGAAGAGAAGAAGTTAGCATATTAGCTCCAGGCTTGGTGCCACACAGCCATCTCTATAGGGACTATCTGACTCCCACTTCGAATAATGCTGCAGCATGCACCATGCTTGTGACTTTACAGCTGCTAGAGAAGCTTGTTGTAGCATGGACTCAGCTTTTAGTAAGTCAGCTAAGTGCTGAGGGCTTTAAAATATATATGGGGTTTTGCATATTTAAAATAGTTTTTCCTTTATGTGCAAGACCAAGCAATTTATTTTAAACAGACACGGACCTGACTTCCTATAGACTATTTCTAGACTCCAGCAAGGTTTACTGGTGGCAGAGCCATCGCTTGGAGTGGGAGCCAGCTGCAATGGGGTCAATATTCTGGGATCTAAAAGAAGAAAGTCACTTATAAAGGAAAATTTTGCTGAATGTCCCTCCTAGGCTGGCTGTTGAGTGTATTTATCACACCGTTAACTTGCTGGAATTTTGCATCTTCCCTTCATGGATCACCTTTTTAACAAGAGGAGAAATAAAAATGTGCATAACGCAGATCCAATTGTTTGTTAACAAAACTCCACAGTATAAAAACTAACAAGTATATAATAATTCAATACGATAGAAATACTACCATTTTTGTGTTGAAACTTTTTAAAAGCACCTCTGCTTTTAAAATAATGATAAAATATATGTAAGAATAACATACGCTATGGAGAAGCAAAAAATACTGCAAAATGAAGTCTGGGATCTCCTCCCAGGCTGCTCTCATGACTAGCAAGCTCCTTAGTAATCTCATGTTCTTCTTATTTCCGCATGTTTGTGTTCTAAGACAAATGAGAAAAACTCCTCCCATATCACACGCAATCCTTAAATCTTGTATTTTATCTCAATAAATAAAAAGTGTATATGAAAAATATTCTGCCATACCAACATATGATCCTCATTAAATTGGGAGAAATGAGTGTTACCATCTTCTGAGGATCCATCTCTTTGCACAAGTAAGGGGAATTGCAGTCCATACGAAAAAGATTTTGTATCTGATTTTTTTCATCAATACGTAACTCTGACTCAGTTAGTAGCTTAAGATTCCATTCTGTCTTGAAAGCAATTTGATAACATTTGACCAACATTTTTTAATATTAGGAACTTGTCAAATAATGTGTCAAATTACCACCTTCATTCACATCCATTTATCTCGTTGTCCAGTGGACCACATTTGAGCAAGCACACAAAAAGTTGGTAATGTCTTTTCATCATTTTTAATGGCTGTAATTTCATTTTAAACACACTAGTGGATCTTATAGTTAAGATTTGTCTTGTCAAGGCAAGCACATTTTATATCTCATTATTTGTGGCTGCTAAATTCACACTTGCAAGTGATATTTTTCCACCTTATCCCGGCAATGAATTTTCTGTCCTTAAATTACAACATTCTATATTAAGATTTTCCTCCCTACGTTGCTGATTATAAATTTCAACTCAAACCTCAGTTTTATAAGGATACTAGTCTGAGTATATAATAAGGTAAAACATAAAGATGTTGTAAAGGCCAAATAGTATAACTTGGTTCAAAAAATAATTAGATAAGTTCACGGAGGACAGGTTCATCGGTGGCTATTAGCCAATATGGTCAGGAATGCAATCCCATGTGCCAGGTAGTAAACCACTGACTGCTAGAAGCTGGGACTGGACGACAAGGAATGGATCACTTGATGATTGCCCTGTTCCGTTCCTTCCTTCTGAAGCATCTGGCACCGGCCACTGTTGTAAAATAGGATACTGGGCTAGATGGACCATTGATCTCATCAGTATGGATATTCTTATCTTCTTATATCTTTGCAGCCTCTTTTTACATTTCAGTGCCATCAGTGGAATTGCAGAATGTTACTGAATTCAGAATTTCCCTGTATTTTTGGATGTTCGTACACAATTAAATAAAAAATCTTGTTATCCATGGGTTTACCCTAGGGTGACCAGACAGCAAGTTTGAAAAATCTGGACGGGGGTGAGGGGTAATAGGCACCTATATAAGACAAAGCCCCAAATATCAGGACTGTCCCTATAAAATCAGGACATCTGGTCACCATACTTTACCCCAGCAGTTTTGACTGACATGAAAGTTTATTATTTGTAGATATAGCATTAAATCTATACATTAAAAAGCCTTTCCCTCTAATAAGTAATTATCAGTAGAATTCCATAATCTGTATGTTATTTCCATGTAACTGGTGGATTCATTGACTAATAACAACCACAAGTTTATAAACATGGCTGGTTTGGATGCTGCTGCCAAATCTGCAGTCTCAGAGGCTCCAGATTGGGCTTTATCATATTATGGCCAGGCTGAATTGCTAGTGCCGGGTTTAGTGCTCAGTGTGCTATGTGGTATTAAATATAAACTACTTAATGTGGAGTGAAAGCTTTGTGGTAACCATCACTTGAGTCCCCTATGGAATTGGAATGTCTATTCTTTATGATGGCCCCACCATGGGCATTTCACAGATTTTCTCTTCTTTTTAGTAAAAAGGGGAAGATGGATGGTCCAGGCACTTGGATTAAAGAGATCTGGGTTCTGTCAGTGCCAGAGATTTGCTCTGTGATCATGAGCGGTTTAGTTAGTCTCCCTGTGCTTTGGTTTCCTCATCTGTAAAATGGAGGTGATAATATTTCCTGCTTCCCAGGAGTGTGGGGAGGACAAAGTCATTCATGTTTGTGAGGGGCTCAGGGTACTAAAGTGATGGGGACCATGAATGTACCTAGGCAGATAAAAACCTCTATTCAGTGTAGTTCTAACTGCTTCCACAAACACCCAACCCCACCCCCCAGATCCTGACATATTACCTACTCCTCCGTTAAATTTGGATCAGCCCTTAATGCTTACATAGCATAGGAGTTTGGAGCAAGTATGGAAGAACCAGCAGTGCTTATAAATAAGTTTGTCAGCTGTTGAGCATAATTATGTGGGCTCATTTTTATAATTATTATAACCTGATAGCAGTTATTGAGGCACACTTATCCTTTGTGTAATGCGACAGATTTCAGTGCTTTTCTTCCAGGGATGAATTTAGCCCATTGTCTCGTTCAGTGATTTTCTTTTTATTTCGTTGCCTATTCTTATTTGCACAGATATGAAAAACTCAACTGGAAAATAAGAATTTTTTTAAAAGCCTTAAAAATGTACATTTTTAAAAAATGAGTGTTTTAGAAAAGGAAAGCATTAAGTACAATTTTGTGTATACCAATATGAAGCACACTTTATTTTTAACTTTATTGTCTTTCAGGGGGATCAGACATTGAATACCTTGATTTTTACAAGCCAGTGGTATGGTTTTGGATCCTTGTAGGACTTGCTTATTTTGCTGCTGTCCTGAGCATGATTGGAGACTGGCTAAGAGTCATATCAAAAAAGACAAAGGAAGAGGTAAGAGCATCTTGCATGTAAGAACAATTTGCTTCTTCATTTATATTTGGATTAGAGGACAGGAAAACATATAGTAAATGTTTGCTTTTAGGGCATGAATCAAAGTTGCCTATATATGAGGTACAGCATGGGCTGAAATAGCTGATGTCATTATACAATTCATTTGTACCAGTTTGGTTGAATATATATTGATTTTATGTCACTACTTATAAACTCAGGTAAACATAGATATCAATTAAAGGAAAATGTGTGTAGTACAAAAGTATACCTATCTTGCTGGAAGGAAATGTCTCTTTTTATAGGAACTATTTTTGATAGTTAAGCCATGCGCTCAGTGTTTGGAGAAATAATATTTTCCTATGATTTTTTGCTATATGATACAGATATGTAAAGCAAAAGAATCAAATGTACCACTACACAGCCATATTAAGCAATAAGAGACTCCTGGACTTGTTTTAGTGATACATTAATTTGTCTTATGTTACTTGTCATACAGTGCACTGCACCTAAGGCATGGACCATTAAAATATGCCCAGAGGTGTTTTACAATAGTCTCATTCAGTTACATACACATTAATTCGCAAGTCAGATGTGTTGGTTTAAGTTCAAATGTGCTTTTTCATGTAAATGTGTTTCTATCATTCCAATGATGATAAAGTAGTTTAATTAAAATGTAATCAGTTAGCCAAATGGCTTAGTTTCAGTAAACATTTTGGGATAAGTAAAACCTCTTTTGGTTATGGCTAATGAGAACAGGCTTGATTAAAAAGCTTTAAACATAAATTAAGAAAAAATATTTTGTTCAGAAGCAAGATATTCATTCCATGTGATCTAGGTTCACGTCATCTACAAATACTTCATCTGCAGTAATCAAAGACAATACAAGGAATCATTGTTTTCAGTGGAGATACAATGTGAACTGCTCTTCTATATCTAGCGCTGTCTTGTGTTGCCTATGTTTAGTGGTATCATTCATGTAGCTGATTGCGAAGGGTTGATATGAGTGCATTTTTAGTGTGAATTCATAGTCACTTATTCTGAGAAAAGAATTGGCATCTAATTAGTGAAAGGGTATTAATCTAACGTCCTCTCTTAGAAGACAATATGTGTATTAGTTCTGCAGTAGTTAAAGAAGATAGCTGCTCATCTTGGCCCTATTCCTGCAAACCCTCTTTGTAACTTTGCTCACATGAGTATTCCATCTGATGTCAATGACACTACACGTGTGATTACTTGCATGCACAACATGTTTAACCGTTTGCAGGTTTGGAACCCTGCTCTCTGGAAAAGTGGTGAAGGAATCTATGATGCCCACTCAGCACTGGCTGCTAGTAAATAAACAAAAAGAACAGGAGTACTTGTGGCACCTTAGAGACTAACAGATTTATTTCAGCATAAGCTTTTGTGGGCTACAGCTCACTTCTTCAGATGCATAGAGTGGAACACACAGACAGAAGATATTTATACATACAGATTGTGTTCCACTCTATGCATCTGAAGAAGTGAGCTGTAGCCCACGAAAGCTTATGCTGAAATAAATCTGTTAGTCTCTAAGGTGCCACAAGTACTCCTGTTCTTTTTGCAGATACAGACTAACACGGCTGCTACTTTGAAACCAGTAAATAAACAGATTACTTCAAATTTTGCTGTTACAGCCCTTAGTAATCTGAGCATAGGGAGTGCATGAGTCTTCCATTTGGGGTAGCTCACATGCGAGCGCCAGAAGTTCCCTAGAAGTGGGTTGGGCCACTGGCACCTGGACCATGGCCCCCGCTCCCACTCAGCCTCTTTTCCCCCTCCCAAATTCCCACCCTGGCTCCACCTCTTGCCTCCCCTGAGGCCCCGCCTACCACTCACTCCTCTCCGCCCCTTCTCCCTAGGCCCCCGCCACTCGTTTCTCTTGGTCCCCTTCCCGGAACGGCAGGGACCACGATGGGGTCATGGCCCCATCACTTTTTCCTGCCTTAGGTGAGCGACGGAAGAGAGGAGGCAGTGGGGGGCGGGCAGGGGGAGGCCATGGGGGACGAGGCAGAGCAGGGGCGGGAAGAGGTGGACCAAGGGTGGAGCCTCGGGGAAAAGGCGGGGAGGAGTGTGGGTGTGGGGAGGGCTTTGGGGAAAGAGGTGGAGCAGGGGTGGAGCGTGGGCGTGGCCATGGTCCAGGTGCTGTTCCACCCCCTTGTATCGAGCTTTGCTTCCGGCACTCCAGAGATGGTGGTGGGCTGGCACGCTTCCGGAGGGGTGACCTGCGCCACAGCCACGGCATTTCCCCCCTGCTTGGCTGGACTTTTGCCTCCCCTGACCTTTTATCTGCACCGCCCATGAATCTGAGCCTGACACATTTGACAAAAAACCTCTCTCTCTCTCTCTCTCTTACACTGAGGCAATTGCAGTCAGCTAGGTCATTCTTGTACTCCTGATATTCCATCTGAATCTTTCATTTACAGGGCCTTCTTAGTTCAGGAAAGCTCTCTTCAGGGTTTAGAGCAAGGCCTTTCTGTTCATGTCAGTGCATCTTTACCAATTAGATCTCCTTTTTCTTCATCATCTATTATTTTTGGACTATTTTCTTTCATCCAGTTTTCTGAAAGAAACAAGCTGATCTCTGTGGGCATGTATCCACGTTTTGTTTACGTTCTCTCTAAAGCTTGTTGAGTATCCCAGATACTCTGTGTGGAGATGGGCACTTCATCACTAAGGGAGAGAGTTTCAGAAGTGCCTAAGAGGCCTTGCCTGGGGCAAAAGTCCCATTGTAAGTCAACAGAACTAGTGCTCCTAAATCCCGTTTACTTTTGAAAGCTCTCCGGAAATTAACGTTTACCATATCTATTGGTTTCAGTGAACATGCTTTGAATTCTGTGAAACTTCAAGGACTTAATTTAATATTTTTGGAACATTATGGTGTTGTGGTTGATGCACTGGCTTGGGATTCTAGGTTAGGTTCCTTTGTCTGCCATGGATTTCCTGTGTCCCCCTGTGCAAGTCACGTAAAACTGATTCTCATTTACATTAACTTCTCATTGGAGAGTATAAATGAGAACCTGGTCCTTAATCTCTCTGTGCTTCAGTTTCCCATCTGTAGAACAGCGATAATAAAGCTTCCTTTCATATACCCTTTTGTTTCTCTATTAAGCTATGTCTACACTTGAAGCTGGGGATGTGATTCCCAGCTCGCGTAGACATATCCGCATTAGCTCTCTTTGAGCTGCCATGCTAAAAATAACACTGTCAATGCGGTGGCACCAGAGGCACCTCTGGCTAGCTGCCCAAGTACATGCCCAGAGGGTCTGGGTGGGTACATAGGATGGCTAGCCCGAGCTGCCGCCCATGCTACTCCAGCTACGCTATTATTTTTAGCACACTAGCTCGAGCAGAGATAGAGCTGGTACGTCTACATGAGCTGGGAATCGCACCCCCTGCTCCAAATATAGCTGTAGCCTTAGATTGTGAGCTCTTTGGGTGAGGCACTATCGGTACCAAATGTTTGTACAGCACCTAGCAAAATGGAGCCCTAATTTTGATTGGGGCCTCTGTGTACTACTGTCTGATACATTACGATTTATTTTTATTAATTGGACTTGGGATTTTTTTAAAACTTCGCGTGTTGATTTTAACTATGCACTGTAGGCATTTGAGCCCAAACTCAATTCTGGGTAATATTTAAACAAATACAAGTTTGGATGCTTTTAAATTCATTCCCCTATTGCATATTAAGTAAAATGATACTTCCCAGGTGATGCAGCACTCTACAGTGCCAAACATATTTCCCTCAAGCACCAAAAATGCATACCCTATTCCCTTTTCCCTCCCTTCTCTCTTTTGTAGCCTCAACAAGCATATTCATTGTGGCTACAGAAAGGAACATTTCATTCTTCAGATACATATATATATATATTCATGTTCCCTTAGCTAATGCAGGGGTACAGAATATTGTGATACACTTCTCTCTCTCTCTCTGTTTTTTTTTAAAAAGGTCAGAATAAATACAGCCAAAGAATAGCTGGCACTATTTGCTCAAGTAATTGCATCCCTCAGGTACTGAAATTTTCATTGTGTTGAGAAGCAAAGACTCATTGTGTGCTTCTTTATCCCATTGCTCAAGCATGTCTGTGAGTACTCACAACAGAGAATGTTGTAGCCATAGCTGTTAAGGTTTCAGAAGTAACAGAAATCAGCTTGAGCAGACTGAGTTTTGGCCGATTTTTGTGCTATTCTAAGAAAATATTAAAACACTATTTTTCTATTCTACTTTTGTGCACTTTGTATAAAGGAAGTTATATAAAAGTATATGGTATTATGCTGTAAGTCTTGTCTGGAAGAAGCTTTTTCTATGTTGATAAATCGTAAAAGCTAAACTTGAAAAACCCTATTACCACATTTAGTGTTTTCTCCAATCATACAGGATGGTTCCTTGCCCTATTGTGCAAAGAGTTCACTCTACAAGTGACTTTACTAGTCAAACATGCTACTCCATTAGTATAATTTTGAGGCTGACTTTTCGACTGTCTGAGGACCCCATGATGAAGAAGTTCATAGATTTTTAAGGCCAGAAGGGACCATTATGATCACCTGACTAATCTCCTGTCTAACACAAGCCATAAGATTTCCCTATATTAATTCCTGTTTTGAGTCCAATAGCTGTGCTTGAGCTAGAGCAGGGGTCGGCAATGTTTGGCACGCGGATCGCCAGGGTAAGCACCTGGCGGGCCGGGCCAGTTTATTTACCTGCTGACGCGGCAGGTTCGGCCGATCGCGGCCCCCACTCGCCGCGGTTCACCGTCACAGACCAATGGGGGTGGCGGGAAGCGGCGCGGGCGAGGGATGTGCTGTCCGCGGCTTCCCAATGCCCCCATTGGCCCGGGACAGAGAACCGCAGCCAGTGGGAGCCGTGATCGGCTGAACCTGCCGCGTCAGCAGGTAAATAAACTGGCCCGGCCCGCCAGAGTGCTTACCCTGGCGAGCCGCGTACCAAACGTTGCCGACCCCTGAGCTAGAGAATGTCT